AATGGGTGATTCTGGTCGTCCATGGCACATTGTATGGGTTCTCAGAATAACAAGTTCTGTATCTCCTTTCGGCATGCGCTTTGCACCTTCAAAGTGCAAAGTGATTCTACAAGACTGGGTGTCGTCTACCCCACGCCGATGCTTGATGGTCAAGAATTAGCTGTGGTGGGATGTTTCACCTACTTAGGTAGCTGCGTTTCAAATGACAGTAGCATAGTCAATGAAGTAACCACTCGCATTTCGAAGGCTCGAGCAACTTACGCAGGATTGAAACACCTTTGGTGTAGACGCGATGTTTCGTTGAAACTGAAAGATCGTGTATACTGCGCCAGTGTGCGGCCAGTTCTGCTCTATGGTTGCGAGACCCTAAATTTGCGCGTGGAAGATATTCGTCGTCTTGAAGTATTCGACTGCAGATGTTTACGTAGTTTGGCTCGGGTAGGATAGAGCGAGCTTGTAAGCAACTCTGAGGTGAGGTGTCGCGTATTTGGTAATGATTCGATGGAGAATTCTTTGTCCCATCGAATTTTCATTAATTGGCTTCGCTGGTTAGGACACGTATTGCGCATGCCCAGCCATCGTCTGCCGCACCGCGCCTTATTCGCAGTTACGGCTCCAAGTTGGAAGAAACCGCGTGGTGGTCAACAGATGATGTGGAAGCAAGACATGAGAAAATGCGCAGAGCGATTAGGTAGAATCGGTGTTTCCCGTCTTCCAGTTTGGGTTCCGGAAGACTACAACTGGTTGGCTGGAGACATTAAAGGATATGGCGACTGAGCGACAGCAGTGGCGCTCTTCTTGTCATTTCTTAACAAGCCAGAATGCTTGAAAAAGGTATGCATGAACACTTAGATTGTGTACTCTGTGTGTTGAACATAGAGATTCTTTTTCTTTGCCTCCCTCCAAGTAGGCCCAATCCCTCTCCATCTTTTGCTTTATCATTTGATTTGTGTACCTTGTGAGCTTGGCAGCGATCAGTAAAGCTCGCTTCACTGTATCTCGCTGTACGATGACGATGATGATGATGATGATGATAATGATGACCGTACTATGATTCTTTGCATGCAATTATAGACGGATACCACTTAAGCTGACTAGCGTATCAGAAGAGAAAAGTTGGGTAACAATCTGGAGTTTGGGCTAGCCGTCAGACAGTATTTTTGATTCACAACATGAAATGATCTGTCAACATTTACGAGACAAAACATGATTCTAATGATGTACTCGTCAGTAAATATGGCGCATTTTGTTTCGGTTAATGTGGTGGTGATTAGTCAAAGTAACTGCTACCGATCTGCACCAGTGTTTCTGGTCCCCAGGCCAAGCTCTGTCATCTTTTCTTTTCAGATTTCATCATTTAGGTGACTTATAGAGTATCGTGTGCGTTTTTAGTTTATCTGACGATTCGCAGGCTGCAGGCTCTGTTGAAGGTCTTGCTGCGGGTTTATAATGTGCTAAGCCGAACGTCACATTCTAAATTGAATAAACCGTTTACTCAAGAAGTGTTGACCCTCAACCGCGTGGGTCAGGGGGAGGGGTTACTGGTTTTGACTCTTCCT